CATTCCTTCACAGATGCCCTTCAGCACATATACACACAGAACGGCCAGTGGTTCATATGTTTGCAGGAGCAAAAATGAAAACAAACAACAAAAAAAGACAAAGAAGTGTCATTGCTCCACAGTTAAAATTTCACTAAATGCTCATGGAAGATAAGGTAGTAGCATTTATCAACACTGAGCAACTAGAACACCGTATTTATGGATAAAAGCATTTCAAATAGTCCTTTTCATATTCCTCTTTCCCACAATACTGCTTGTTAAAATGGACTTAATGACTTCTCTTTCCCCATTTTGTCAGTTCTACACGTACGTATTTGGTTCTCCTCTATTCCACCTAAAAGAACTTAATCTGCCACTTCAGAGCATGCTGTGTCACTAAATTGTAGGTTATGACCTTATTAATGTGGCTCAGCAGGTAGAAAATAAACCTGCATGTAGAAGAGCCCATTTGCAAAACAGAAGCAAGGAAACATCATACAAAGTGCAGGACAACAGAGTAACAGACTTCTCCTCGAGATTACCTTCAAAGGGAGAAGGTACTGCTAACCTTTCAAGTATCCCACTCTAAGAACTCTCTAGTCCAGAGAAAGAAAATTACATACTAATGCAAAACTATCTCCATTAATAAGTGTTTTCACCAAAACACTTTCCTGCATGACAATGACTACAAGACTACTCATCATACAGAGCTAACACTGATGGTACTTAAACGTTATGTCTGCTTTTACCCATCACCTTGTCTTCAGCAATAGCTGACAGCAGTAGAGAACAGGAACATAATTAGGATATAGCCTTAATTCTCTACAAACACATTGCTTACAATTCCTGAGTGAAAGATAGTGTCTTTGCATTCAACTCAGTGAATTCTTTATTTCATCAAGCAGAGCCATGAAAGAAATAAAGGTTATTCCTATACCTACAAGTGGCAATGCTCTAAGGTATCTGTTTCTTTGCTGGCTTACATATCAAGTCCATCTTCTTGAAGTCCTTGAATGGATAGAATTGCAGGATGATGTGCTTTATGTATCCCTTGCTTTCTATATGGGAAGTTAAAGCCAGATCTATATGAGGCATTAATCTTTTCTAGAATCCTTGAGATTTCCTTATGGCATACATGTAAAAGCTTCCGTATTGCAGGAACCAGGAGCAGTACAGTACAAGTAGGAAGTGTTAAGCTCAAGGACAGTGCTGGAGTGTAGAAATGCCACCAATAGCAGCCAGAACAAGCAGATAAACAGATACATGTTTAGAGCATAACTGTTTGCAAGCCAAGCAAGCCAAGCAAACCCTACATCTTCCTACTTTTTGGATGAAAAGTTTAAATTGCTGCTACTTTCTAAAGAAATACCAAACATGACGTGAAAGGAAGGAGGCAAATAGCAGCACGTATTGCTTGTCAGCCACTAAAGATCCTAATGGAAAGGGTCCTACATATCTCTCAAGAACATCATGTTTATACAAAAAAAAAAAAATTAGTCTTCTCCAGCTTGTCTGCAGCTCATGGACACCATAGTCACTGTTCTGGCATTTTTATTAATTGGAAATGTATGTTTATCTTACTCTAGTGGTAAAAAACCGCATCTCCTAACTCTCACAGCTTAATCCTTTTTGCAATCTGAGAGATACCTACGACAGGAAGAGAAATAAACCCAGTACAGTCGGTTAATTGCTCAGTGACAGATAATCTTTTCTCCTTTCTGTTTTCCTCCTCTTCTATAAAAAGAATAGCAAATGTAAATAAAAGTCTTTCATCTAAAATGCTGGAAGAAGTATGTCAAGATAACACCATAATTAAAGTCAGGCACAGCCATATACAAAGCTTCATTTGCTATATACAGAAATAACAGCTCACTTGCCACCCAAAGCCTGGCAAGCTTCTGAGCTTCAGTACTCAAGAAGATAGTAAAGATTCTGTTTCTTTCCGATGCTATATTTCATCCCTTTATGTCTGTCACAAGTGGTCTCTTAATTCATGGGTCGTTTCAGAAGGACAATTTCCTTCCATTAGCACTGCAGCCAGCTGTAGTTAAACTGGCTGAAAAATTGTAAAGAAATGCCATTCTAGCAGGTGGTAGTACGTTTACACGTAACACAAATTCATATCTTGTAGACAATGGCATGGTTACGTTATAGATGGTTACAGTTTCATCAGTCACAAAACTGCTTAAATCACCCAACAATGACAGATGCACTTATAATCAGCTATAGCACGAATGACTTGTGTCTGTGACGTGCTACTAAACAGCCCCTCATCATTCATCAGCCTTTGGAGAACACACTCTCCACAGGAGGTGAGAGTGGTATTTCTTTGTCATGTACTCAAGGCAGAGATTTCTCTTCAGTGGTGAGAACATGCAGAATATGTCTTTTTCCTCAGAAACAGAGCTCTTGACATCAGAAATCAAACCAGACATGAAATCATGATTTCTTCTGTTCCTTAGCATCAAAGCTAGAGGGAAGAAATAAATTGAAGTATAAGATACGTTTCTGCCTTTCACTCAATTCAATTTTTCTACCCTTTTGAAGCAAGCAAGGAGATGTAAATTAACACATCACTTAAGCAGCCAGGAGGTGCAATGGCTAATAACCTCTCTGTCAGGTGAGTTAAATAATAAGACATGCCCATTCAGTCATTTCTTTCCATTATACTAAGAACAGAGAAGCTGTCAGGGGATCTTCAGAATGTTATTTATTAGTGATCCAAATACATATCTGCATGGTGAGCAGTGATCTAGCTGCAGAGACAGTTGCAGGACAGAGCACAGCATAAACACCCACAGCTGACGTAAGGCAGCAGGACTCAGTTAAGAGAATGAAGCGTGCTGGTGAGCAACAGTCAGAGCAGCCACAAGAACCAAAGAGCCAATGGAGAATAATAATGGAGCACTGCAGAGAAACACTCGTGGGTTTTAGCCATCCTGGTTCTCCTCTGATATCTCCTAGAGAAAAGTCTTTCTCCAGGGACTCTGGATGATTGGCCACACAGCTGTAAATAAGTTCTGGCAAGCGACAGATACCAAGTAAAACTAGAGCTGATGAGTTCAAAACAAGCCAAGAGTTCCTCAAATCCACAATATTCTTTGTTCCAAAATGTCACAAGTGTTAAAAGTTTTAACAACACTGATGAAGATACTAAGGAAGTTAGTTCATACCAGTAAAGTTTCACAGTGGTAAATATTTCTTGAAACTATCAAAAAAATTAAACAATTTACATACCAAATAAAAATACACTGATATATTAATAATAAAATATTCAGATAGATCTTAAACCAAAGGGTGAGGAAGGACCTGAAATTTCAACACTATGAATGAAGGCTGGGAGAATACAAGGAATCGTCAGATATGAAAATTCCATTTGCATATTCTCTCTTAGATTGCTTTTTGGCAACAAGATGCTAGGTTAGAAAAAATATAGCTTTTCTTATGTCATTTTCTGATATTAAGGAAGTCCAAAGTCCAATAAAGTGCTCTACACTCACTAGCTGTAGGTTAGTGACACAGACAAACTTCCAGATGCTGGTATCACAGAATCACAGAATCATAGCGGTTGGAAGGAGATCGAGAGTTCAACCCCCTGCCAAAGCAGGTTCCAGGTATATCCTTCAGTGACATCTGCACATCTGCCCCTTTCAAGCATGGTAAAATTCAAACTTCACAGACATTAGTTATGAAACAGGAAACAGCATAAGCTCATTGGCAAGACTTTTTGCCCAAGTTCATGCATCACTTTTAGCGTTACTTTCTCCACTCTGATGTGGCTGTTCTGTTTTCAATCCTAAACCAGAACCTCAGCACAATCCTGCACTGCATCACAAGAGAAAAATAATTTTTTAGCACTGTCAGCAATGGAGAAGGATGCGTCTCCACAGAGTGAAACACCATGCTCTCCTCAATGACTAATTTTTCAGGGAGAAATGGCTAAGGGTAGTTAGGGGGAATAAATAAATTCATAAATGCAATATGTTTACTTTTTGAAATCATTGTGACACCTCACCATGCATATCAGACAAGGCAAAGGGCAGTAGAGAAATATGATCCTTTTTGACCTCAACCCCTACCAGCAATTTATACAAAATAGGAAGGTCTAATTATCTCCATAGCACAACAAGAAATAATTTAATCAGCATCACAAAATGCTAATCATTCCGCATGTTTCTATTGCTAGAAAAAATCCTACAAGTTTTGCTATTTCATCAGTTGGGAGAGAAACAGTAGTCAGTCCACCTCCATCAACAGCCTTTATAAAATCTCCCCAGACTGCCCAACAATGCTTTGTAAATCAAACCACAAGATAAATTTCCCTTTACCTATTATGGCTCTTGACGCTTCCACAAGAACTATGAAGTAAACACAACTTAGATCCATTTTTCAGATACATAAAAAAACAAAAACCATCTGCCCTCACTGGATCCAAATAACACCATAGAGAAATAGACCACAAGAAAATCCTTGCCTTTGGTTCAGAGTGCAGGATATGTCTTAAAGTCATTGAAGTATCAAGGCATCCCTTACAAATCACTGTAACAGACATAATCACACAGATTGAAATCCATTGAAATCTGGTACTAATACTACAAGTTCTGAATAAAGACCTGTGATACTTATTTGAGCCCACTTTAATCACAGATAGTTTCCCAGTCTTAGCAGTACTGACTTTTCAGAAGTATCGTTTGGGCAGTAGACAGCCATAAGATTCTTCATAATAAACAAGGACATAAGCTTGAGTTCTTCTAAAAATAAACCAACTGATAAATTTTATTCTGAATAAGACAAAAAAGGGGAAATCAAATGAGAGCAGGTTCGTGAAATATGTTATCTGTTTGAAAAAAAACAATCAAAACTTCAGCTTCTTCATCTTCAAGTACAAAATAAAAGAAAGAGAGGTTAACCACAAACCTTCCAGCAAATTTTTAAAAAATCCAATTAAATAAAAGAATTGTATCAGTCTGCTCCTATTTAAAAGGTAAGACAGTAATTATTAACTCAATTTATCTCCATACCTCCAAAGAGAGCTCTCTGTGATGCTTCCCAGGTTGTAGTCATATAGCTTTGTCAGAATTAGAATCACCTGAAGGCAAAAGAAGAAATTATGGTTAGTCTCAAACAATTATAAACTTACAGAAGTGAAATGACCCCAGGGAGGACTTAAGATTCCTTTAATGGGTGTTTAAAATAACTGACTTAATTGTTATATTTGCCTAAACTGACACAGGAAGTACTCGCAAACAAACTGTTGCAGAATACAAGGTGATTTCTGCTTCCTGTGGTACACTGCTTTCTACTCTGTTTGGTAAGAACTGAAATTATTCATCCTTTTCACAACTGTGCATGGATACGACCCACTGGTCTGTCTTCAAACTACTTTTGCTTCGGCAGGTAATTAAAAAAAAAAATAGGCAAATGATCATCCAACTGTGGCTAGGGAGACTTAGACTAGATATCAGGAAAAGATCTCCATGAGCAAAGATCATCACTGGTATAGGCCACCCAGAATATCTGCAGAGCCTCTACGCTCTTGGAGGCTGACAAAATAATTGGACAAAATCATGGCTGACATTATCCACAGCTGGTGATAACTGTGCTTTGAGGATGAGATCGAACTAGAGACTTTCAAGTGTCTCTAATAAGCAACATTTCTATGACTTTGGTGAAGTCATAGACAGAATGGAAACGCTTCCAGGTTTGGGAGTTTTATTAGCTCTTTTCATAAACAGTTTTTCCCTTCCTGCCAAAACAGACACTTCTAGAATAAAATTATTTTGCCAGGGGGATGAAGGCAATGTTAGCAAAAAGAATTTCCAGCAAAACATTTTAGCCTGCACTTTTGTTAATGTTCTAATGAACTGACTTTCAAGATGATGGGTTCTTTTAACAAGACCTACATTTGGGACAAACTATCAGACCGTTAGTTTTGCTACTAATTTATTTTGCATTTCTCCCTGCCAGGTCACTGTGTATCTTCTCCTCCATTTCCCATTAAAACTGCAGTAAATTGAAGAGGCACAATGCTTCTTATCTGACAAAAACCCTGATTTATATATCTCTGTGTTATTATTTCCAGCCTGGGTTCCTAAGAAACAAGGCCTTCAGATGCACATCCCCCCACTCCCTTGACAACTTTCACTTTCATCAGCCAATTTCAACTAATCTGGCAGAGAAATAAAGGACTGGAGGAAATTCAGTCCCTATAATCTCTGTGAAAGCTAGCACCAGCACGGCAGAGGAAAGGAACAGACCTCATCATGGTAAAAGCTGCCCTGCCTTTTACACACCTTGAACCAGCCACATGAGGAACTGGCTCTTACCCAATACATTCAACATGAAAGAAGGATACAGAGAATGTAAGCAAACAAATAGCTGCCGCAAAGGTTTAAGGAACAGATTATATACATCCGACAAGCACATTTCTTCATTTCTACAGTGGTTAAATCCCCCAAAGATAAATAAACCAAAGAAAAACTTCTTTACTTTGAGGTTGACAGAACACTTAGCCTACTGCAGGGAACCTGCATTAGAGTGGTGGAACAAGATGATCCTCAGAGGTCCCTTCCAACCCCTACAATTCTGTGTAATCTGCACAAACACGAGTCACATGCAGATGATAAGGGAGACAGGAGAAATAGTTGAAAAAAATAACAGTTTACTAAGACAAGCTCCAGAAGAAAAGCATCCTCCCTTTTTACCTGCTCACTTCCATTTTAATCTCCTGCTTTCTATCTTCCATCATGCCTACTTATTGCTTTACGTCTAAAATGAGATCCTCATCCTGTTACCCACAAATGACTGCCTAGAAACTCAGGCTATTAAAATACAAACCCCAGCAGGCAGAAGACATCTTAGTGACACCATATAAATAAACAGCACCACAGAGAAATGGAGGACATGGAGGAGTGACCCATGGAGGTGCATGATGCCTGAAATGCACAAGGATTGGCTCTGCAGATATCTGAGCTGAGACCACAGCCTCCGACTCCTAGCAGCTCCAGGCCCAACTCAGCTCTGAGTCCTTTTGTGACTCTAGCTCTATCTCCAAGTTGTTGCATCCCTCACATAGCTCCCTACAAGCCCTGCCACACAGCAGCAAGCTGCCTCCAGATTTTAAGGCCCCTGCAGGTGTGCTGCCCACTGACACCAAACCTCCCATGACCCCCATGATAACAGTCCCACAACAAAGTGGGAACTGACACAAACATCCCCTTCAAACAGCCTCATGGTGACTTCTGCCTTACCCAGAGATCCTGAGGAGAGCTGTTAATGACAGTGCATATAAAACACCATGTCTCCCTTCTGCTCCATCATCCCTGTAGCTGTCAGAACCTTGACCTAGATGTCCCCTCAGTCCCACAAAACACACCAACACCAGTGCCGTGCAGCCAGGAGGTGCCAGCCTGCACGGTACCTCTTTGAAGGGAAGGCCAATGTGCACAGTGCCAACTGCAGATGGCAGAGCAGCAGCAGTCACATACGTTTTGCAAAGCCAATTAGGGCTTTGTAAGTGCTAAAATTTCAATCTCCTCCCTCCCAGGAATGCTAATTGGTGACAACAAGGCAGCTGCACTCCCAGATCCAGACCACATCACTGCCATCCCTTACTCCTCCGAATGAGTCTCTAAACTCCCTGCTTAACAAATAAATAAAAAATTAAGAGGGAAAAAGGTAAAGGAAGAGGAAAGGGGTGTGAGCATGAAAGCATGCAAGACCTTTCTAAATAACTGCTCTCCTGATGAAGATAACAGTCAAGTCAGTGAAAAGTTTCAGTGCCAGCAGAATAGAGACCTTCCATATGATGTGGGAATTGCATCTACCTTCAGCTTTCAGACTTCCTTGATCTATGAAGCAGCTGGACAGTTACAGAAATTTGCTTATATCTTTTTCCAAGCCTCATCTTTTCTTGGCACACTCATGCTTTGCTTGCCAGAGGAAATTCAGACTTAAAAGACCAAAGAATATTCCTCACTGAATATTTTGACATCTGGTAGTTTTAGAGGCAGACCTGAAGATATAAGGCACAGAAACTTGGAAGAGAAAATAAGAAATTTCCTCAATCCTTTGCCACTAGTTGAGGTGATCTTGGGAAAAATCACAGAAAAGTCTGAAGAGACACACTTTCCCCACCTGTAATCCCAAGAATTAGAACTAAGCCTACTTTTATGGATTAATACAATCAGCAATATGCAATTACACTAGTGTCAAACAGATTTACTTGTCAGAAGTTACACATTTTTACTTTTTCTCCCCAGCTTTGAGGGAAAGTCACAAATCTCCAAATTTCCAGGAAAGAAAATTTAATTGAGAATTTTAATTTCCTCATTTGAAACAAAGTGTAATCGATATCCCCAAAAGAATATGATAAAAATTATAACAAGTGGCAAAAAAGAAAAATCAAAATTTTCCACCTCCAGAGAGCTGACATCTTTCTTGTTCTTTTTTGTTTCACTCAGAAATTTCAGTGAAATCCACATCATCTCAGAGTACTGTATGTTCTCCTGTACTAATTTGTGAAAAATTGTATTTCATCATGCTTTTCTTTATATATAGCTCTAACAATTATCCTGCAATCAGAAGTACTCCTTGATCCATCAAAACATGCTCATTGCAGCTTATACCATTAGAATCCAAAGTAATATTGCTATATCTTGACCTCTTAGTAAAATTAGGATACAGCCCCCAATATTTAATATTTCTAAGCTAATATTACTATTTGACACTATGTTGCAGCATACACACACACACCAGTTTGCTATGCAATAGCTTAGATATAATCACATAAATATCCTGTTTCCAGAATATAGACAGGCTTTCCTACAGGAGCTTTTTCCACTTCTGTGGATTTGTATCAGCTCCTGCTCATCTTTATACCTCTCCCTAGTTTCAGCAGACTTCTTGTGTTATTTGCTCTGATTCAAACATCAGTAATAGATCTCAAAGATACACACGCAAAACAAACAAGTCATTGGGCAGAAAATTAGTTATTTTTGCCTCGGGTTCAATATTCTCTTTTCCCCTTTACAAAGTTATTTGAATAACTTAATTCAAGGCCATGATTTCCGTTATGTTTACTCTTTCAGAAAATGTATTTCTCCTTTGCTGTTTTTGCTGCTTTCATTTCTTTGTTATTTAGCCTGCAAAGGTTAGTTCATGTTGAAGATTGTTCCTTTTTATTTTCATGTTTTTCCTTCCTCTGTGGCTGTCACCATGTAGTACTGAGGAACCTAATGAACAGAGACATGCATATTATGTTGTTCTAAATGTCAGAATATGGCTGTGAAGAAAGAGTAATGAAATGAAAAGTACTGTCTCACCCTTTTTTTAAAAAAAAAAAAATTTCCTCCTTTGTTGCATTTTGTTGTTTTGCTTTCTTTTTTTTTTTTTTTCTCTTTTCACTGAGATTCTTTTTCTCCCCCCTTCCTTATCACTTACCAATCCATACAACCTAACAAGAAAACTAGAGCCACAATAAAAGGAAGCTAAAATACAGTCTTACGCCAGCTTTGCTTTGAATATGGTTGCCTCTTCCAACTGCACAGAAATGCAAGACTATTCTGTTCTTCATTAAAAGCAGCATTTGAAGTAGGATTTTCTGCCATAACAGGCATAGAAATAGAAATCGTCTTCATTTTCTGTGCTAACAGCCAAGAGCAGAAAAGATTTGATCGTGGGTTTATTGCATCCCCAGTGATCATACTAACCATGGTATAGCCCTAAGAATGTTTGCTTTTTTGAATTCTTTACGGAAAGTGAAAAAGCCCCAGGAGATAACAGGACAGAAGGCACAGTGTTTTAGCACACTCACCTGAGAATTGACTGACTGACAGAAGAGGTACTTGAACTTAGATAGCCCTTTCCCAAAGGAAACCATTTCCCCACATCTATTCTAGCAAGAACTAGATACTGTAGGAATGTAAGTGGAACCCACCTTAATTCAAAACAGTATTTTCAAAGAAAATGTACTTTGTTAATAATTCCTGAACTCTGATTGCTTTTTAGACTCAGGACGTGAAAGCGTATCTGCAGGTTTAAGATGGAAATCAGTGGTTGGACTAAAAATACTACTCTGTGAAGATACTC